CTGTGCAGAGCTCACAGTCACACCCGCCCTGACGTGGCCGCCTCCAGACATGGGGGCCAGCCGGGCGCGGGACCTGGGGACCTCACTCCGAGCAAGGGGGGGCCAGATGAGCTCCGGGGGCTGGGCCCTCAGTGGGGGGGACACCTGCACTGAGCCCAGTGCCGGATGCCGCTTGGAGGACACGCGGTGTGGCTTCTGGACAGAAGACTCCCAGGACAGAAGTGCCGGGGCGGGCACTGGAGACCCACACGGGGCTGCTTAAGGGTGTACGGGTTCTTTGGAGGAACCGTGTAAACGTTTTAGTCTTTTTTAAACTTTTCACACAGGGTCTCACTAGTTGTCCAGGCTGGCCTTGAACTTGCAATCCTCCTGCCTCAGCCTCTGGAGTAGCTGCAGTAGCCAGAGTTGAACACTGTGCTTGGCTTGGGAATATTATAAAGCTGATTGTACCACTAGTTGTCCAACTTTGGAATATACTAAAAGCCGACGAACTCTACACTTTAAGTGGCCAAGTTGTATAGCATGCAAATTATACTTTAATAAAGCTGTTTTTATTTATTTGGTTTTTTGGTACCAGGGATTGAACTCAGGACCCTAGACCAGCGGCACCACTGACCTCAATCCCCAACCCTTTATTACTCTTTGCTTTTTTGAGACCAGGTCTCACTATGTAGCTCAGGCTGGCCTTGAACTTGTGGCTGTCCTCCTGCCTCAGCCTCCCAAACTCTGGAACTACAGGGATCATGGCACCACATCTAGACCAATAAAGCTGTTCTTTGTTTTGGTACGAGGATTCAACTCAGGACCTTGCACTTGCCTCCCAGGTGTGGTGCCGCTGAGCTAAATCCCCAGCCCCAATAAAGCTGTTTTTACAAAGCTGCAAGCCAGGCATGGTAGTGTACCTGTAAGCATTCCGGGAGGATGAGGCAAGAGGATCCAAAGTTCCAGCCCAACCTGGACAACTTACTAAGATCTTGTTTTTCTTTCTTTTTTTGAGATAGTGCCCTGCTATGTGGCCCAGGGTGGCCTTGTACCTGGGTGATCCGCCTGCCTCAGCCTCCCAAATGCGGGAGTACAGGTATGCACTGCCACACCTGGAGACGCAGTGCAGTGGAAGCGCACTTGCTCGGCCAGGGTTCACTTATCAGCAACGCAAAACCCAAGACCCACTTTTGCTTCCAGCCCCTTCCCATGCTGGGCAGTCCAGGCTCAGCCGCGGAGCCACGGCTGCCTTTGGGTGGCGGGGCAGGGTCAGCCGTGGTGGGAGCACTGCTACCCGCCCCACGTGGTCTCGGTGCCCAGTCCTCCGCTCTCCCCACGGGCACTCAGATCCAGTGCTAAGCAGGCCGCAGGAGAGACAGCAAGCGCCCGGCCACCTCAGATGGCCACCTATGGAGGGGGCGCACCCCAGAGCTCCAAGACAGAGGTGTCCCCAGCGAAAGCCACAGAAGGGACAAACACCGGGTGCATCGGGAAGGCTCCTGGTGCACAGAGACAGGGCGAACACGACCGCCTGGGGCAGACAAGCTGAGCCAGTCCGGAAGAGTGGACCTTGTGCCAGCACCTCGGTTCCCCACAAAGGCCCTGACCCCTGTCCTGTCCCCACCAGTGAGCCCCGCCCAGGGCACAGCCAGCCACGCGCAGGTGACCCCGGCTCACCGCCGCCCTCCTCCCACGCCCGAGCCTTCTGGAAGGCTCTCACCTAGGGGGCGGGGGCAGCCCCCGGCCTTCGCTCAGCCTCTTGTCGGAGCCGTAGCCCCCCCAGCCGTCACGCGAGTCGCGGCAGTGGCGGTCATCTGCGTAGTGCTGCAGGGCGGGAGGGCATGGCGAAGTTCAAACTGCGTCCCCTGCCCAGTCCCAGCCCCATCCCCAGTGGTTGCGCCTCGCTGCCAGGTGCCACGCACACGGGGGACCTGCTCCCCGACTCCTCTCCTTGTGCCTGCAACTCTGCCACTCAGCCCCGGTCCTGCCAGCTGCCACTGCCACCCAGCAGGGCCACAGGCAAGACTGGGCATAGGGAGGCCACCGCCCCCCTTCTGTCTGCATCGGGAGACACCATCTCAGGGGCCATGGTGCCGGCGCTCGCCCTACGTTCTTCAGCCAGACTCCAGGCCACTGGTGCCATCATCCCGTCCCTGTGCCCAGCACAGGCGCCAGCAGAGGACCCTGCGGCCACACACGCGCAGCCCGCACACGGCTCCCACTCACCTGCCCGTCCCGCTCGCCCATCCCCGGCCTGGACCCTTCCCTCCTGCAAAAGGAACAGAGCTCATTGGAGCTGCAGCCATGGCACCGACGCTCCTGCCACGCCAGGGCCCCAGCTGGTCCTCTCACAGGGAAGCCCAGAATGAGCGTCCTGGGGAGAAGCACACGGCTCGGAGCAGAGCGGCTGGCGTGCAAACGCTCCTCTTGGGAGGGGTCAGGACGGCAGGGCCGAGGAGAGGCTCGCTCAGCTGCCTGGCGGCTGCGACCCTGTGGCCTCTCCAAGGACCCCTCCTTCCTGGAAAGGCTACAGTGGCCAGGACGTGGGCCTCTCTGCTCTGGGAGCACAGGCCCCACCTGGACGGCCCAGGCCTCGCTCCAGAGGGGAGCTACCAAGCCAGAAGGTGGGGCAGGCGGCACCGCGGAGCAGACCATCTGAGGAGGCCGTGTGCTCCTGGGGCGGTGCCCGCTGCCCCCGTGCCCTGCCCTTCCCACCTGTGGTCACCCAGGGCCTGGGCGGCTCCCTCCCAGCCCTGCCCCAGCTCTGGAAGGGCAGTGGCTCAGAGAGGAGCGGTGACCCCGCCCTCCACAATGCCCAGTGTGGCAGTGACCGGAAGTGACCGTGCAGCCCGCCAGCCCAGGACCCAGCCCCACGTGGGAGGATGCTGACCTGTCGGCACCGTGGTCCTGGTACTGGCCCCGGTCTCGGTGGTCGAAGTCGTGGAAGCGGTGATCGGGCCGGGGGAAGTCGGCGCGGTGCCTGTCCTCCAGGGCCACTCGCTTCCCTTCCGGCCAGTAAGCTTCCTCCCGCCTGTTTGCGTTTTAAAGAGAAGGCAAATCTCATTTACGGATGAGAAAGGGGCAAGAAAAGGGTGACGGTCGGGGCTCTTTTCTCAGAGGCAGCCTCGTCTGAAACGCCAGGGCCCCCGCACTCCCACCTCCCGGTCCTCTCGCCAGCCCCGGCCTCCCTCGGTTTGCGCCGCAGAGGGAAGGAGATCAGGCGGGGGCGGAACTGACACGGCTCAGGAAGGCAGGCACCTAATTATCCGCTGCCCGAAGAGGCCGCTCGGGGAGCGAGATGGCCGTGACTGTCAGGCGGCGCAGAGGCTGGACGCCAATAACCCTACTTTCGGAACCAGA